TCACAGAAATGATCCCTTTCAAAGCCGTCAAATGAGTTGCAAAGAAATTGGCAAATCCTATCCCTAACAGAGATGCCCCAAGTCTTCCTGGCTAGATCTTTTCCTAAAAATATCCAGCTAAATTTTATTACAGCCGAAGGTAAAAAAAAAAAAAGTGAAAAAAAAGTGAGTCCATTTGTATTTAAAATTAACTAAACTATGGATTAATCCTCACAATCATAAAACTGAAAGTAGGCATGCAGACAGGGATAAGACAAAATTCAGTGCATCCATGCCCCCAGGCACAAGTACTCAACACTCTCTGAATGTGAAGTCATTTATGAAGTCCTTTACAACATGCAGTCAAAGAGGTTAATTGAAAAATTTCTTAATGTCATTATGAAAGAACTAGATTAACCCAAGTTAATTCACTTTATTGTTCAAAATAAAGAGGAATAAGCATTGAACTCACTTGCAAATTTGGGGCATGAATTAGGGGTGAGATGTTGTCTTTAAGGACTCTGCCAGTTTAATTAAGATATGGAAAATTACTTATTGTTCTTCACCACTAAAGTGCTAGGAATTAACAGCCAAATGTGATGCCTGTGCCTTTCATATCTCTACCATGTGTTTGTTTGTTTAATACCCATAAGACTACATCATTAAACCTCAAGCACTGATTTCACTAATTCAGCACGAGGGCTACATGCTACAGCAGCAAACACCTTTCCGAGTCAATCATAATTGAACAGCTGGATGTAAAATGCAATATTATTTTTAAGCTCGTCTCTAACTTTGACTTCAAACCACAAGCCCTGTTTTCCTCCCAAACAAAATACCTTCCTACCTTTGTAATACATCCCCTAAATACAGCGGGAGCACACGGGCGGCGCGTGACGTATTTTATCCACTTTATCGGTTCCTTCCAATTAGAGATGCTACAACTGCCAACATTGCTGCACTGCTCTTGTCTTAGTGAAACATAATGCGGGTTGTTTGTTTTCCTTTAGGAAGTATTACTTAAGAGAGCAGCAGACCTTGTTGAAGCCCTATATGGGATGCCCCATAACAACCAGGTAGGTCAGCAGCGCGCTCTTTGTTCCCACGCCGACACGTGTAGATCAATACCTGCTCTGTGCAGGGCTGGCAGAGCATCAGCACGTTGCCTTTGTACACAGCCAGGCTTTGCCAGCCACCTTGAGGGCAGTGTGATGTGATGCAATGCTCCGAGGGAAGCGCTTCATCTTCCCCTTCTCCTCTCGCCGCTCGTTTGCCTATCAGAAATGACAATTAAGTGTGAGGTGCCAAAAGCATAAGCAAGCATTAAGGCAAGAGAATAACCTTGAACTGGGGCCAAAATATACAGTGACTAATGGGAAGTCCTAAAGAAATCTGCTCAGCCGAGTGGATCAGCTGTACTGTATTTTGCAAACTGCTGAAAATACAACTCCTGCCTTGGGCGTATAAAACCCGTGTGACGATTTTCACCTGGCTTCCAGTGCTAAACTGGAGTTTTATGCTAATTTCTTCCTTTCTTTATGTTTACTGTGTTGAGGAGCAATTGGGCTTGGGAAGGAAAAACAGGAGGTGTTGTTGAAACAAGCAGCAAACCCCCCCATCCTCACTGCAATTCCACGTGAATCTCTTCGGTAAATTTTTGTGCTATTGCGACTTGGAGCATTTGCACAAATCTGAGTTGTCAGTGCTTGTTTTGTGTGTCTCTCTAGGAAATAATCCTGAAACGAGCAGCTGACATTGCTGAGGCGTTGTACAGCGTGCCCCGCAACCACAACCAGATCCCCACTCTAGCCAACACTCCCGCCCACACCGGCATGATGGGCGTGAACTCCTTCAGCAGCCAGCTCGCCGTCAACGTCTCCGAAACATCGCAAGCCAACGACCAAGGTAGGTGGGCTTTCAAGGGTTAATCCTTCACCTTGTTGGCTGCTTTTGGCCTGTTCATGTGAGCTGATGTCACCGCCGTGTCCTCCCTCTCTCTGTCCCCCTAGCCGTGTGTCTGAGCGCGGAATGAAATGCTGTCTTTAACTTTTCTCGTAATATTTAATTCTCCCTGTTCTTTCATTTACTGTTATCATAGAGCATCTCCAGTGGATGAAAAAAAAAAAATTGGCAAAAAGTGTAGAAAGCTCTTTGTTATTTGCAGTAAATATACAGCGTGTATGGTTGGTTTATAAAATAATTATGTCTCGGTACCTCCACCTGGTTTTGGAATGTTTACACAGATAAATCTAATTTGATGTCTGTGATTTTAAAATACTTTGTTTGTAGGCATGTGTGACATATATGTTACTAATAAAAGTAATAGTTGATTTAATTTACCTGTTGTAATTGAAAATGCATGTAGCATATTGCATTTGAAATTAATTTTGATACTAATGAAAGGAGGGAAACAGGATTATTAGATATGTTCAAACGCATATTTTTTTTTACTTGCAACATAATTATTAAATTGATTGCTCAGATAGGAACAAATTGTTGTTTAAAATCCTGATTCCGCTATGTTTCCTCTTCTAAAAAGATTGTCTTTTAATGCGTTTCCAAGCTAATAAGCCTTATAAAATTCTGTACTTGCTCTTGAATTAGTTTTCACTGACGGCTACACCTTACGAAAGCTTGTTGTTAGCATAAAAAATATCAATCACAAAATGAAGACCCCAAAACAGCCTTTTAAAGTAAATCACCGCAACAAAAAAGTTTTTCTTGTCAGCTCTGGCATTTGAAGGTGTGGAGAGGCTGAAAGTTCACGCAGTGTGTTGGTACAAAGCGGGACTCGAGCCTGTTGATAATTGCTCCTAAAGACAAACGTGAAGGCACCTGACACAGCTGGATCGAAGAGAGCTTTTGTTGGCTGTCTGTGCTAAGAGGAGAGACAACATAGAGTGCTCGCGGATGATTTAAGTAGGGTTGGCGTGATAAGGTTATCTCAAGCTGCAAGAGTTGATAGGGCAGTGAGAGACAACTCAGAGCAAAGCTGTGCAATCAATTAAAACTGTGTAATATATGCTGCATGAGGAAACCCCCCAGCCCTAAGTCTATCTTATAAAATAACATTATTTTTTTGGGGTGGGGGGGTTTCTAACACAGTAGGTTACAGTCGCAACACAAGCAGTGTTTCCCCGCGAGGATATGTTCCCAGCAGTACTCCTCAGCAGTCCAATTACAACACAGTCAGCAATAGCATGAATGGATATGGCAATGCCGGCATGCCCAATCTAGGTGTACCAGGTTCCCCTGGATTTCTTAATGGCTCCTCAGCTAACTCTCCTTATGGCAGTAAGTGTCTATTTTTGGTAACACATCATCATATAGATTCATATTTACTACAAAATCAACTCCTTGCATTGTTTTGATTTCCTCTATTGTCAGCTACTGGATAAAAGGAGGGGTGACTCTGGAGGCTGGACGTAAAAATGAAAATAATAAATTGATCTGTTTGTGCCAGAATACAATCTCAGATAGAGAAAAACAAAAAAAAAATAAGAACGAACAAAACAAAACAAAACAAAAAACCAAAATAAAAATTGGACTGCGCAATTCGTAACAAAAGTCCAACACAAAAGAGTTTGCCTGTTATCCAGAGAGTGGCCAAGCCAAGGCATTTCATTTTTATTTTTTTATATATATTTTTTTTTATATATATATATATCTCTATATATATTTTAAGAGGCAAGGCCCTATCACTCTCTTTTTCCGTGTTTGCCGTGAAAACCTCAATCTGAGTCCTGATTATTTTTGCTTTATTGCAGTAGTGCCGTCAAGCCCTACCATGGCAGCCTCTTCGGTCACCCTCCCTTCAAACTGTAGCAGTACACACGGCATTTTCTCATTCTCACCTGCCAATGTCATCTCTGCAGTGAAACAAAAGAGCGCCTTCGCTCCTGTTGTCAGGCCCCAAGCCTCTCCTCCACCATCTTGCACCAGTGCAAATGGAAATGGACTTCAAGGTGAGCCCGATCTCTCTCAATTTTCTCTCTGCTGCCTTTTTTTTTTTTTTTTTTTGTTTTTTTTTTTTCCTCGGGGAGAAAAGGTAGCTGGCTGGATTTTTCAGTGCTCTTGTAGTGATGCAAAAGCAGGGGGAGAGATAGGGTAGTGTGAATGATCTGCTGAGATTTTCAGGTTTTTAGTTCATTTTTGATGCTTGCATTAGAGGAAACACCAGTTGTTTTCCTGGCATTTTCCCTTAGGAGTTTGTGCCTTAAATTTTAAGGGAAGACTGTATCCCGGAATGCCTCTTGGAGGGTTTGTGTACTCCTGGTGTTTTTTATGTTTTCTGAACACATTTCTGTGGATGTTTAAACCCAGCAGTGCTCTGGCAGGACAGGGTGTGATTTCCTCACTTTCTATAGGGTGTAGTAGTGATTTTAAGTATGTGAAGTTAATATAAGTCATGTTAAGCCCTCACTCAGTGGACTAAGCTTTCCTGGACTAGGCAGCCCTGTATGCAGTGGTTTGCATGCTCTGGTGGTGCCAGCCCTTACTGTGGTGTTAGGGTGGTTACATCCCTAAATGAACGAAGTATTTTAATTAGGGAAGGAAATTTTAATGTTTTGCCTTTTTTTTTAATATAATCCATGTGATTTCATGTGGGCAATGCCAGGAACAACTGATAAATCAGTGGCAGAATGCTCATGGTTGTCTGCAGGATGTGGGGCAGAAGGAATTACAACACAATGTGAGAACAAAACCACAAAGAATTCACCCTAGGAAAGAAGACTCATGGGCAGTTTTGCCACTTTTAGGGGGGATTTTGACCTGCAGAAGGTGAGGCTGTAGGTGCATTAGGATCACTGGGAAGGTTTGTTTGCCTCTGGTGGAGTCCCAGTGCACAATGCAGTAAATTGAGGCACTTCAGATCCCATTGAAACCAGGAAGGGTTGAGGACAGTCTCATCCCCGAGGTCGTCACTCCTCTTGACTTCCTCAGTTAAGCAGCAGCAGCACAGGATTATTTATCCTTTGTATCACCATGACACCCATAATCCAAGCAGCACTCACAGGAAAACTGATGAGGGGGATTTAATTTGCCAAACCAATTCTGGACACCTGCATTTTGTGGGATGCTGCAAGTACTTCGGAGAGGCATCATCCCAATCCTACAGAGCTGTCTGGCCACCCCAAATCCACTCCAGCATCTCAAAATGAATATTCCTGTAGCTTGCTCTTAACTTCTTGGCCCAAAAAAACATCTGAGACCTTGTTATGCACTCAGGTCAACAAAGAGCTGAGAATCCAGATGCATGAACTCATTGTAGCATGATAGTAAAGGAAAGGATAATTAAATTAACTGCTTTTTGCATATTTCTTTACTGGAAGCTTCACTGTATTACTACTGTAAGTAGAAAACTATATCCATATTCCTAGAAAAGATAATCCATACATAAAATAATCCAGTGTCCTACTTTCCTCTTTTTGTAAGAAGACACTTATATGAAAAGTAAATACTGAAATAAAATAATGGGAAAAAAAAGAGATAATAAAATAAATAATAAAATATAGACAAAAATAATATTAAAAATAATATAAATGCAGTAACATATGGCTTGGATCTGAGGCAGGAAGATCAACTAATTGATTTTGATTTACTCTGATAAACAAAATTATTTAAAGATCTAAATTAAAATGATCCAGAATTTTGCCATTTCAGCATGTGAATAAGGGTCTTCCTGTCCTATACTCAAGGTTTTAGGTACTTAAAATCTCTAGATTACCTCAAAGTGGGGTTTTAAGGAGAACTGGGAGGGCTGAATGCCTGCACTGAGCACCCGATGTCCCTTAGCACCTCCTCAAGCCCCCAGCAATTGCACATCTCCATCCTCAGGTACAAAATGCTTTTTGTATGAAGCTCAGAAGATGACTTGGAATCAGCCAATATTGATTTGTTAAATAGGTCATGAATTCAGCTCTTAAGCTGAGCCCAACCTCACTTTGCACAAAGCTTTTTTCCATGCCCAGAGAGCCCAGCAAAGCCCTAACCATGCCTTCAACCCCTGATTTTTGGGTGCTGCAATCCACCCAGCAGAGTCGGTGTCATCCTTTTGGGTTTTGGATCAGCAGCTGAACTGAAAACCAAGTGTTGAAATGAAATAGATAATACATAGATAGATAAATAAATAATTAAATAAAAATCGTAATTTTCCTCTGTCAGCTGAACCTGAATAATTCTGTGTTGAGCAGAATGACCCAGAGAAGCAGGCTGAATGTCCTTCTGGCCTGGTAATTAGAGCAGCGACTTACAGGATTGTGGCAAAAAAAAATTTGCATAATTTATGCAAAGCAGACAGCACCACAAGGTGATGCTTGGTATTGTGGGAGTTAGGGAACTGACATGGAATCACAGAATTCTGGAATGGTTTGGGTTGGAAGGCACCTTAAAGACCATCTAGTTCCAACTTTGGGCAGGGACACCTTCCACTGTCTTAGTCCTGGCTGCTGTCCTGTCCTGTCCCAGTCCTGTTCCTATCCTAGGCTGCTCCAGGGCCAGTCCAGCCTGGTCTTGGACACTTCCAGGGATGGAGCAGTCACAGCTTTCCCTGTGCCAGGGCCTCAGCACCACCTCACCTCCCCCACCCAGGAGCCCTCTGTGAGGTCCTTCACCATCCCAGCAGAGGCACCGTCCCTTTTTCCACCCAAAGCTTTGAGTCAGCTCAGACTGAGCTCACCAAAGCCCCCAAATTCCCCCATTCATCCTCACAGACCTCAGCCACTGCCTTGGCCTGAGCTGCAGCCAGGGCTGAGGGGCAGCACAGGGATGGGTTTGGCAGCTCCTTCCTTCATGAGACATCGTCATGAAAAACCACCAACGCTCCTGTGCTGGTACTTATCTACTCTGCATTTGATGCATAGAGTTCATTAGGGAGTTTCTGCTTCTTCCTTCCTATTTTCTCAGTCATTTGTTGTCAGGGAACTCTTTTTAAAGTTTAATTAGTTGCTTTCTGGACTCTGTACAATCACCTTGAGAGTTTTCTGATCAGCACATTTTCTACATTAAGTTAAAATATGGAATTTGAGAGCTGCAGTCCAATGCAGCTGAAGTTTTTTTGGTGATCTTCAAGTACAGAGTCTCATTTTAGGGCAGGGTGTGAAGGAGCTGAGCGACAGCTGAGGAGATGTTAGGAAAGGTCACATTCAGCCAAGCCAAGAGGGCAGTAAGAGCTCATGGTCACAGGTGGTGACCATGCAAATCCTGCAGTTTATGGCTAAGTAGGGACTTGGATAAGAATGGAAAAGAATTCAGACAAGGGAGGTCCTTTTGTAGGGATTTGGGGGTTAATTGACCCCTCCCTGGTGGGTAAACCACTGCAGGGTATCTCTGTGTGGGAAAAATGCTGCTTGTGGTACGTCTAAGTGGTGAGAACAGCAGAACTAAGCAGCTCCAGCTGGACCTCAGGGGGATTGTTTTGTCCCCTAACAAAGAGTTAAGCAGAAGTTGAGCTGCCCTAATTTCTGGCTGGTGCTGCTGTGACCCTGAGCATCAGGACCACCCGAGCCCACCACACCAGAAGCAGGGTCTTGCTGCCTGTAAGCACAACCCCAAAACCCTCTCTGTGCTGTAGGACCTACTGCCCAGGAGTGAACATGGAGAAATCTGCAGGGGACACTTTTGCAAAGAGATCCAAGACACTTTCCAGTGGAAGGTGTCCCTGCTCATGGCAGGGGGTTGGAACGAGATGGTCCTTAAGATCCCTTCCGACCCCAACCATTCTGGGATTTGACGATTCAACAACGAAGACAGAGGTTAAGAATATAAAAAGGCAATCTGGGGAGATCTCAGGCTGGGGGCAGTGCCAGCCAGGGCTGATGTTTACTCCTCCCCCTTGCTGCACCCATGCCAGCTGCACGTCCATCGTCTAGGGAGGGCCAGCACTCAGAAGCTGCAGCTCTTGGAGGAGAACTCTCTCCCTGCTGTCCCCAGGGCCTGACTCACTCCTGTGAGTAAGCCTACAAAAAAGGGCTTTTGGGCCTTATCCAAAAAGCCACAATCTTGTTGACTCTGCATGACCTCCATAGTCTATGATCAGAAAGTCAAGTACTCACACAAATTTTTAAAGAGCAGGATCCTACCATGGGTGTTCCTGAGGGCAGAGAGTCTTTTCCTGTTTAAAACAATGAACATTAAAACTAGAAAAGAAATTTTTTAGTGAGAGACTACTGGCTTGCTGCAAAGTTGGAAGCACAATATGTGTTCAAAATTTGGTTTTCAATTGTAATTTGCTTTCTATAGATTGTGAAAGATATTGCTCTCTGGTTATAGGACTATAATGCACAGCAAAAGGCTCTCTATATTCTTTTAAAATTGCATCCTGCTTAATTTTCTGGTCTTCCTCCAGATGAAAGTATTAAAATTATTATTAAAAAACTCACCAGCTCATTTTTCTTTAAGAAGGCGTTTGGTATCAATTTGCACAGCAGGAAAGCTCAGTGCAGAAATTCACAATTGTCAAAGATTGCTACTAAAATAAATTGTGAAATGCACGTCTGGAGCACCAACCTTGCATCCCCCCTCAGACTGTGCCACGAAGAGAGTTCAACAAAAACAGTTAAATTAAAGAACTGAGATAATTTTTCTTTACTCCAGAAAAATGTGGCAGTAGTTAAATCTAAATTTTCACACAGCAGAATCATAGCATGGTTTGGGTTGGAAGGGACCTTAAAACCCATCCTGTCCAACTTTCTGCCATGGGCAGGGACACCTTCCACTGTTCTAAACTGCTCCAAGCTCCAGCCTGTCCAACCTGGCCTTGGCCACTTCCAGGGGTGGAGCAGCTGATGGCTGAATTGCAGCACGAGGCGCTTGAGGACGTGGTTTAGTGGTGAGCCACGACAGTGCTGGTTGATGTTGGGCTTGACCTTAAAGGTCTTTTCCAACGTTAATGATTCTGTGATTCCATGACAGCTGTTCCTGAAAATGATCTCCTGCACCCCCAGGCCAGGTGCACCCCGATAACCAGACTGGCCTGGTGACAGATTTGCTGGGCTGGGCTGATGAAGGGTGGAACAGAGATTTAGGGCTGCTTTTGAGGGTCTTTTGAGGGGGGGTCAGGCCTTGGCAGAGGCTGCTCAGGGAGGTTTGGAGTCCCCATCCCTGCAGGAGTCCAAGGAATTTCTGGAGGTGGCACTCAGTGCTGTGAGCTGGGGACAAGGTGGGGATAGGGGACAGCTTGGACTTGGTGATGTTGGAGACCTTTTCCAACATAAGTGATTTTGTGATTCTCTGAAAATGTGATAAGGAAACTGAATATTTTGTGTAGGAAGGCTCTTTGCCAATATAACCACTGTTCTTCAGTTAAATTTTGGAACTTCAGTTGCTGGTTAGATTTATAACATCGATTATTATGAATGTTGTGAAATTGTAACTTCAGTTTCGATTTTGACATTTTTGACGTTTAACTGGGGAGAAAAATGTCAGAGTTGGAAGACTTTATCCTGTTTCACAAACATCACCTAAGCTGTGTTCTAGAGAGGTTTAACTCCACCCAAATCCACAGAAGGCTCTGGCAGGACCAGGGGCTGCTCTGGGCTCTGGGTGCAGCTGTTGGAGCAATGCTGGTCGTGGTCGTGTTACCTACGAAATGTGTACAGACCCAGCTCTTCCAAACCGTAAAGCTGCAACGGCGAATCTGGAATAAATTAATATTGTTGAAATTAATGAACTGAGAAATTGAAGTTCACATCGCTACACGAACAAATTTATTAATATCTGTTGTACATAAATTAATGAGAAATATCATTATGGCAAAAATTAAACAACACTAAAATTAAAGACTGTCTAAATTTTGCTTCTACCAAAGAGTTAACCAGGTAAAAACGGTGGTTGTTGGCATCTCAGTCTTTTTCTGTTAAGAAACCCCAGGATATGGCTGGTCAGGGGTTTAAATATCATGTCTTTTTACGATGGTTGAGCTCTAGGATTGGGAGAAGGTTTAGAGTTCTTGGTTTTGGTCTCGGAGAGCCCTTGGCTTGCTCAGTCCTGCTTTTATCATGTAGAAGAATAGTGGAAAATGAGGTTTTCTGCCCAGGGCACGAAGTGGTGATCGGTGGGGATGTCCCGAGGGGATGGGGACACAGCAGAAGAGTTGTCAGGACCTGGAGAGAAGCTGAGCCTGGGGAACTGGGGATGCTCTGCCCGCAGAGCTCCTTGCTCAAGCAGAGGCTGTTTGGGGTGTGTTTTGCTGGGAGGAGTGTCCGTGGTCCTTGCTCTGGGGACGCCGTGGAGGAGCCGGGCTCTGCATCCTCCCGCCCCGGCCCGCGGTGGCTCTGAGCCCAGCGTGCCAATAACAGCTCCTTTTCTTCTCTTTTTTCTTTTAGCCATGTCCGGGCTTGTAGTCCCGCCAATGTAAAGTCACTTTTGTTTACCTACCGTAGCACCAAGCTGCAGAGGATGGGCTTAGGGGACAAGTTTAGTATATTAAGACGTGCTGATGGAAGCAGTATCTTCACGCAGAATCAGCAACAAAATCGAAATGCTACAGGAAAAAATAAAAAAAAACCCACAAAAAAAAAACAACCCACAAAAAAAAGAAAAAAAAAAAGACTTTGTTTAAAGATTTTATTTAAACTATTAAGAATCTACATGCAAAACAACCTACTTCTTCATGAACAATTCCATTTTATTGACTGAATTTTTCTCATATTTTCACATTTCTCAGTCCTGGAGAATAAGGAAAAAGCGACGCCTATTTTGTATAAAGTTTCTGATTACGTCTTGGCTATGTCTAGTACTTGCTATGTGTTGGGAGAAACTTTGTGGATGCACCATTTTGATTATCATGAAACACTGATGAAAAATGCCTCCGAACATTTTTCTGTACTCATAACTAGATTCACAATGGTTGTGTATCTCTATAATGTGAAATATTTTTTTGTGGTGGAAAAAAAAAAGGGGGCCAAGGAGGTTATGAGCCATCAAACTGGAAAAAAAAAAGAATAAAAAAAAAAAGGATGAATATATGATTAGGAAAAAAAACCACACAAAAAACCGGGGCGCGGGGGCGGGCGCGGGGGGGTTTATCGTTGCTTAACTTCATCTTAATGAAATGGAACTTTGTAACTTATTGTAGTTAGAAATTGTAACTTTGATATTGAATTCTCTTGCCTTCAACAAGCACACTGACAGAGAAAAAAAAAGAGAAATTGCTACTGTCTGTTGGTTTAAAAAAATGAAAAAAATATACTTCCACTGCTAGAGCTTCCTGTTAAGCAAGTGTGATCTGCAACATTTTTTCAACTTTTGCTAGCACTGTATACTATTGCATTTTAGGCTACTGTGAAGTCTATGTTTCTTGTACCAGAAAATTGTCCTTTTGACTTCTAGATCCTTCTTCCCTAATGTGTTTTGTATGTGGTTATAAAATTGTAGACTTTTGTGATTTTGCCAAAGTTGTAGCTAAATATTTATACACTTGTCTTGAATTTTTTTCAGATCCACTTAAATATTTAGACAAAAAAAAAAAGCAGATTTTATTCCTTATGACGGCTATAAGGAATAAAATAGTCTTATCCATTGCAACACTTTCTTTCACATAAACACTTGCAGTCACTAAGGGAATTTATTTTGTAACATATCAACTATAAATATTGTATTTATCTTTGAAATTTTGTATATTGCTTTTCATCATTTTTTTTTATGTTCTTGTATGTATTGGTTTTTGTCCTGGCCTGGTATCGTGATGCTGAAAATAGCATTAAGCCAAGAACTGTTGCCTTCATGTTTTCTTTTAAATAAATCAGTGTCTGTGCATTTCATTTGTACTTCATAAGGTTGCTATTGTTTAGCCTTTCCATACTTTAATTTTTTTTTCAAAAATTCAAATTCATTGTTTATTTTTATATTATTTTTAAGTTATCAGAACAAATAATTTTGAAAGGAAAAGTCGTTTGTTGTATAGTCAAATCAAAATTGTGCCACATGGCTGTAATGAATACTAGTAGAATATGTGCATGTGATACAGCCACAGAAAAGATGAATCTATTTTGTGGTTGCATTTTTTATTTTATTTTTGTTTGTTTGATTGTTTTCTTTATTTTTTAATTTTTTTTTTTTTTTTTNTTTTAAGATTGTAAAAAGTCATTTTCAGCTGCCACCCATGACTTTGCCACATAGCTGAACTGTGTTTACTGGAAAAATTCAGAGGCCTAAAGTTTAAAAATAAATTCACTTCTGATGTTTTAATTAAAATGTTTGCCACATGAACTTCTCTGATGCCTTAAAAGTGAACTTCTTTGAAGAACTTTTGTGCTGTTTTATCACAGGCTTACACCACAATTGTTAATCGCGACTTCATTTGGATGATTTCTGGTGTAAAAAATAAGGGGAAAAAAAAAAAGCACAATCCTGGTGTACAATTCTGCCACTCCTTTATGTGTCGATTTTCTGCTGCACTCTGCATTCTCCCAAAGCCTGCTCTGCTCAAAACCAGGGAAGGTTTCACGGGAATTCAGGATCACACCGAATTTTTAATGTCTGGGAGTTGTTTGTTTAGGTTTCTTGGGGTTTTTTTTTAGGGAACTTTTTGTAATCAACTCGTAGCCGATGGTACTTTTTAAACTGGAATGACCTCCGTTGTATTCCGTGGCTCTCGGTGCCAAATCCAGCCAGAGAAACGTGGAGTTTTTTTTATTTTTACTTTGCACTAAATCCTTTGCCAGCGCAGCACTGCAAAACACGTTGCAAACTGCAGCAGAATTCACCTTTTAACCAAAAAAGGAGGGATCATTTTGTTGATTATTATTAATTTTTTTAAAAAAATTATTATTATTTTTGTAATTTTTTTTCTTTTTTGGGCAAAAATAAAAGAATGCACATTTTAGTCAAGCTTTTCTGAAAGGTTTAGAAGAAGGGTTCAGCATAGCACAGCTCTGTGAGCACGGCCAAGGCTTGGCTAGGTGGGAAAGCCTGAGAAGTCACTTTGGAATTGAATTGCCTCCGTTATATTTTGTCTAAGTAAGGTTTTGCTCTAAAAAAAATTTAAAAAGAGGTCACGTGTACATGTTAAGAAAGTCTGCAAGTTCCTTCATAAATGCAATCTGTTTGTGTTTTAGATTAATTAGTCAATGCACTCATCGCTTCATTGTCTCCAGACGGAAAGCTTCACTAAATGGTAGATTTTACTGTTAAAGACCCTACAATAAGATTGTTTTATCTGTACATTTTTTCATATATTTAACTGTATAAAAAAATGTTCATTTTACACAATATTTAATTAAAGTATTTCTTGTCTGTGAATTTCATTTTTAGTAATTTTATCTGGTTTGATTATTAAAAAAAAAGTGACGAAACACTAAACGAACTAATGCAACACTGGGGGTTTCATTTCTAAATATCAGAATTTTTATTCCTTTGTTATGAAAAAGCCCAAACCCTTGACGTGGTCTTTCCAGTTCCCTGGGAGGAGGATGAGGAAGGAGATCTCTGCTCTGCAGTGGCAATCACATATTGCTCAGCCTTGGTGAAGTATTTATCCAAAACTGCTCACTTTTTTTGAAGATAACTGCAGAATATCTCTTTTTCTTATTTAACCAAAACTGTTCACTTCAGACAGGCTTTTTTAAAGCAAAGGTAACAATAGATTTTTTTTTCTTTTACTATTTTAATATCATATTGTAAAAGTCTGTAAACAGGAAAAGTTATTTTAAACAAAGCACAGCCCAAATTTTCCATGTGGTGGTTTGACACAGAAGGTCGACGTGCTCGTCTCTTAACTGCTGAGAAGGAAGCAAATTCTATTGCTAATTATAATACTGAGCACAAATATTTCATCCTCTGGGCCATAATATGTGCAATGCACATGTAATGGGTACAAAAATATATTTATGGTGAGGTGGGCACACGCAACCTCGGAGCTGGAGAGAGTTGCAAAGCTTGTGCAGGTCTGAGTTCCTCGCCCCAGCCACCAAATGTGCTCCTGTATCCTCGTGTGTGACCAGCACCACCAAAAAGCAGAGTATTTGCACAGGAATACGGCTCTGGCAGAGGAATGTAAGCGCCTGTGGTGGTGAAACAGGGAGTTTGCTCTGGAGTTTGATCCGGTCATTAATCAGAGGGCTGCTGACAACTTTGAGAGGGCACTGGGAAACTCGGAGCTCCAAAGTCAATGGATGGAGTGGTGCATGTGGATCCAGTGCCAAAGGACACGCTGTGTGCCCCAGCCCCTCCTCGGCTGCCCGTGGGTCAGGGATGGAGTGGGGAGAAGGCAAAACTCACTGCAGTCACAACCTACAGGAAAACCAGGATTTTTAACCATGCTTCCTTTCTTCTCCAGTATTGCCATAGTTTTCTTGTCAAATGAAAACTGATTTGATGAAAAAACGGTGTTAAAGCTGCAGAACACTTTGGATTATTATTATTATTATTATTATTATTATTATTATTATGCATTGAAAACTGTTCCACTCTGAGTGTGTGTCTGTGTATCGTGTTTAAAAGGCGGCATAATCAGATGCATCCTACTAAAAAATAAGCTGGTTTTTAGGCATGAAAGTCAGCACGATGCCTACTGGCACTTTTCCTTTTAGTTTTATTTCAAAGGTTTGAATAATGAGCATCTAAATGGTTCTTCTAACTTTCAATGCAAGGAAAATACAAAAGGAGAAAACCCACATATGAAAATTCCTAGAGCAATTCACCACCTACGACACATCTGGGTAAGAGCCCTGCTGAGGAAATATGTTGTGTCAGCCCACAATGAGTTTAGACACAGGAAGATGATAAAAATTCCTTAATCAAAACGAAGGAATAAGAGTCTCTAAAAGTACATGCCAATTATTGCAGAGCAGCTTTTAAAAGTCTTTCAGGCTTTTAAAGATTATTCAAAGCACTTGAAATAGGCTTCAATCTAATGCCTCATTTCATTGCATTAAACAGCCTAGTTAATAAAGAATCAATATATTCAAAGGGCAAGGTTATCTTTTGTCTATAAGGGGTGGTGTCATTCTGAACCTTTTATAGTTCAAATGCTGAAAAAGACCTCATGAAATCCATACTCATCAAGTGGGTCAACTAGAGCAATAAAGAGGCCTCTGAAAGAATGGCTGCACTCCTTTAAAACAACTATAATCTTATCTCCCCACATAGTCCTCGCCAGGCTCCGCCAGAAAACGTCAATTTCTCATCAAGACGAGAGTCCCGGCGATAATTTTTTTTTCCCAGAGAATACACACAATTAGGAGAATGCAGAAAGGCCCCACCAGTGATTTGTAGCTTATTCTGTCAGCGGCGGGCTGCGAGCAGATAATAAGGGCTGTTGATAACCGGGGTGTCAATAGGGCCCGCGGTGGGTTTGGAATTTTTGAATGAGCCCTTGTGCTGCGCGTCCCCTGGCGCAGATCGCCGCGCCGATAACCGCGCAGCGCCGCGCGCCGCGATCCGCGCCCTGGACACACCGCACAAAGGAGCGCCGCTGCTCGGACTCCTCGAGACAATTCCCTGCTTTACCCTTCAAGGAGCTCTTTTATGCGCGAATAAGGTTGCTTTTAATGAAATTGAAGCTCATCAGAGGAAATCAAAACCCTCAAA